TACAGGAAGCCTGAGGCAGAGTTGCTCTGCCCCGGGCTTCCTGTAGTCAGCCACTGGTCAGTTTCAGCAGCGGCTCAATCTGGACGCAAGTTCCGATTTACATACAGATTCAACTTAAGAACAAACCTACAGTCCCTATCTTGTACGTAACTTGGGGACTGCCTATATGTTCTTCTTTTAATTGTGGTGAGAGCTTCTCTGTCAATCCTTAACCTTGAATAAGCAGACAACCACATTTTGTCTATGGGTGGATGGGCTGGATGTATCTATATCATAGACCACAACATGGCCTCTTTACCCTGATTATTACAGTTTAAATTTTCAGTCTGTGGGCTGCATGAGGAACAAACAAGCAGCAAAAGCACAGGATTTACGGAAGTGGAGACTTTTAGCATAATCACTGAATTGGGTTAAACAGACCAGTAAATCACTTGCGTAATACAAGTTTCAAATTGAAGCAAAGCTGTCTGATGTCTCATTCTTGGGGGTCCTACCAAATTGATGGTCCATTTTGGTCAATTTCATGGTTCTGGGATTTTAAAAATCTCATGATTTCAGCTATTTAAATCTGAAATTTTATTGTGGTGTAATTGTAGGGGTTTTGACCAAAAGAGGTTGTAGGGACGGTTTCATGTGGTTAACGTAGGGGGCATAGCAATATTGCTACTTTTTACTTCTGCTCTGCTGCTAGCAGCAGTGCTGCCTTCAGAACTGGGCAGCTGGAGAGCAACATGGCTCTGAAGGCATTGCCCCACCAAAAGCAGCACAGAAATAGGGTTGCATGGTATGGTACTACCACCTTTTATTTCTGCGCTGCTGCTGGTAGGATGCTGCTTTCAGAGTTGGGTACCCTGCCAGCAGTCACCACCCTCTGTCCACCCAGCTCTGAAGGCAGTACAGAAATAAGGGTGGCAATACCGCAATCTCCCTAAAATAAACTTGAGATCTCCCCCACCCCCCACAACTTCATTTTGGTTCAGGACCCCTAATTTGGAAAACAGTATGGAATAAAAGCACACCAGACCAGATTTCAGAGAGAGATGAGATTTCATAGTCCATATCATGTTTTTCTTGGCTGTGAATTTTGTAAGGTGCTAACCATTTTTGGAATTTAGATCTGAAACTTAATGTTCTTTATATACGGATTCAGCCAAGCCAGGGCATTTCTAGATCAAGATTTCATTGAATCTATCACCCTGTTACATCATCTTTCCACAGTATATCCATGCAGATTTTTGGGTTGCAAAGTTTCACTTTTGACCACAGAGCAAAAATCAGTCTTAAATTCCTTTAAAAAAACTGCTTGTGACTAATATGCACAAGTGTACAGCAAAATGTATCTGTTCAGGATCTATTTTTATAGAGAGAGAAGTAAACTGAAGTACTGTTCTGCTGAAGATATATGTCCTAGTATTGCCAACTCCCAAGAATGAAAAAATGATGAAATTGGCTTTAAAACATGAGGTCTAAACAAATTACTTTCTTGTGTATTCTTTGAATTTCTAGGCAGCCCTTTATTCCCCAATTTGTGTTGAAAATGTGATGGTTTTCACACTTTTGAAATATCTATATTAGTCAGAGCTGTTTCTGCAGGCTAGCATTGATTAAGATGGAGTAACAGTAGTAATGAAACTGGTGTCATGAGCTAGCCACTAGCTCCCAGACACTTGAGCTGCTACAACTGCACAGCTCTTCTTATTCAAGCTAGCTAGCTGCTAGAATTAAAATGTGGAATTATTAGGTGTAGAAAATTCCTCTTTAAAGTGTCATAAAGGTACTGTGTGTTTTTGTTTGTTTTTTTTAATGTGAACCTGGGGAGCTTCTTTTTTTTTTTTTTATACAGAAGTTGATTGTCATACTTCCCGTTTTAAGCCCTCTTCCCTCTAATCCCCCTCACCTGCCTTTGAGACAATCTGATCTTTTGGCTGGGAGAGGTTTTACTTTTTGAAAAGTGTGGTAATTGAGTAAGGGGTTTGAGTGAAGAATTTGGAGGAAAATAGGCTTTACTTTTAGAAGTCTTCTAACGGTTTTCCTTTAAGATAACTCATTTGAGGTATATTAAATACCAAATGAGTTATGTACAATCAGAAATAAACACAAGGTTGTTTTTGTTTTTGTTTTTTTTTAAATCTTAAGTAGCTACTTTTGGAGTAACCTGTTATAAATAATCAGTTCATGGATTCCAAGACTTCAGAGCCAATTCAGGAGTTCATGCTTTTTTAAAATTAAAGCTCTGAGTTTATAAACAGAGTTTGTGAATTTGAGCCAAAGAGTTTTGGCTCAGGAAAGCTACCAATTACAGAAGCATGTCCTCTCTCATTCATACATTCAGTAATTTAATTCTATTTCATATGTTTTTAGAAGCTTAATACATGTCTGACAGAGTTTATAAATGCCTGGAGCAAGTATGTTCTAGTCAAAAGACTTACCGTATTTTCCAGCGTATAGGGCGACTGGGCGTATAAGACGACCCCCTATCTTTTTAATTAAAAGATAGGGTTTCATCTTATACCCCAGCGCCCCCCGCCTCCTTTGCTCCCGGTGTCCCTGGTCTGCTGGAGATGGTCCCCAGCAGACCAGAGGCACCGGGAGCAAAGCCGCCAGGAGCGGCCGGGCTGCCCC